GAGTTGGCCTTTTATTTAACCACAGGATTTAAGGAGTGGTCTTGGGGGCAAGCTGTCATCCACTTGCAGTGTCATAGTGTCAAAGCTCATCTAAGTAGCTGTATCATAGGGAGGGTCTCCTAAGCCTGACATGGAGTCAATAGCTGAATTGAGACTGTTCACTGGTTTCTCTTTCTCACCTTTAGAAATAAGCTGCTCTCTTATACGCTACATAATATAATAATAATAATAATATGCCATTTAGCAGACGCTTTTATCCAAAGCGACTTACAGTCATGCGTGCATACATTTTTTTGTGTATGGGTGGTCCCAGGGTTCGAACCCACTACCTTGGCGTTACAAGCGCCGTGCTCTACCAGCTGAGCTACAGAGGACCACACATCATGTCTCTATTTCTACTGCACACAAAGGCTGTGTGATATGTAGCCTATTATGCATTCGCTGCAGCCTTGAACAAATACAGTTTTACTGTGTTGTTTTGCATTGATTAATATTGCATGTGTTTCATTCTATTCTATGGCAAGATTCTTTGGAGGACAAACAGAAACTAACTTGTGGTGAAATCGGATAGGTAGCTGATAGAGGATTGACAATTATCTCTTGTTACTGTAAGTCTTCAAAGACACTTTTGTTATTCTGGGTAAAATCAGCCTCTATAAACCAATCAGATCACTCAACTGCCCTCCTTCTTCCCTACCGTGTGAACGTGACTATGTATAACCTCAGCCGGAAGCATGTAGCTGCGCTCTGACCCCTAACCTACTACCTCTACGACTCAGTCTCAGAGTATGACACGTTAGTCCTATGTCTCACCCCTTTCCCCAGACGTTGACCACCAACTTCCTAAATCTATTATGATTCTGGGGTAAAACGGTTAGGGTGGAGGTGAGGGTAGACTGTGCTGAATTTATTGAGACATTTCAATGGTCAATTCTAACATGAGCCGTTTGTAAGTCTGACAAAGTAACCATACAGAAATTGTGGATTTAAATTGCAGCCACACTTTCTGCATGGACTATATTCCAGATACTATGTCAAATAACTAATCTGAAAACCACTGTGTAACTGTGTGTCCGAATGTTACTAATCAAGCTATTTTCCGTTCTGTTCCTGGATTGGGACCACCTTTTCAGAGAGGTGTAGGATTGTCAGTGTTCTCTTTCACCACCTCTCCTCTCAGACACCTCTGTCTTTTCAACAGGCCAGCCCAGGGGAAAAGTGGGTGGTTTCATAGCGTGACTGTTCTTTTTCAGGTCACTGTTTATAGACCCAAAATGTGTGTGTGTGTGTGTGTGCATGCGTGCATACAATGAGTGTACAAAACATCATGAACACCTGCTTGTTCCGTGACATAGACTGACCAGGTGAAAGATATGATCCCTTATTGATGTCACTTCTTAAATCCAGTTCAATCAGTGTAGATGAAGGGGAGGAGACAGTTTAAAGAAGGATTTTTAAGTCTTGAGACAATTGAGACATGGATTGTGTATGTGCGCCATTCAGAGGGTGAATGGGTAAGACAAAATATATAAGTGTCTTTGAATGGGGTAGGTGCCAGGCGTACTGGTTTGTGTCAAGAACAGCAACACTGCTGGGTTTTTTGCACTCAACAGTTTCCTGTATGTACCAAGAATGGTCCACCACCCAAAGGACATCCAGCCAACTTGACACAACTGTGGGAAGCATTGGAGTCAACATGGGCGCACACCTACAGTGGGGAAAAAAAGTATTTAGTCAGCCACCAATTGTGCAAGTTCTTCCACTTAAAAAGATGAGAGAGGCCTGTAATTTTCATCATAGGTACAAGTCAACTATGACAGACAAATTGAGAAAAAAATATCCAGAAAATCACATTGTAGGATTTTTAATGAATTTATTTGCAAATTATGGTGGAAAATAAGTATTTGGTCACCTACAAACAAGCAAGATTCACAGACCTGTAACTTCTTCTTTAAGAGGCTCCTCTGTCCTCCACTCGTTACCTGTATTAATGGCACCTGTTTGAACTTGTTATCAGTATAAAATACACCTGTCCACAACCTCAAACAGTCACACTCCAAACTCCACTATGGCCAAGACCAAAGAGCTGTCAAAGGACACCAGAAACAAAATTGTAGACCTGCACCAGGCTGGGAAGACTGAATCTGCAATAGGTAAGCAGCTTGGTTTGAAGAAATCAACTGTGGGAGCAATTATTAGGAAATGGAAGACATACAAGACCACTGATAATCTCCCTCGAACTGGGGCTCCACGCAAGATCTCACCCCGTGGGGTCAAAATGATCACAAGAACGGTGAGCAAAAATCCCAGAACCACACGGGGGGACCTAGTGAATGACCTGCAGAGAGCTGGGACCAAAGTAACAAAGCCTACCATCAGTAACACACTACGCCGCCAGGGACTCAAATCCTGCAGTGCCAGACGTGTCCCCCTGCTTAAGCCAGTATATGTCCAGGCCCGTCTGAAGTTTGCTAGAGTGCATTTGGATGATCCAGAAGAGGATTGGGAGAATGTCATATGGTCAGATGAAACCAAAATAGAACTTTTTGGTAAAAACTCAACTCGTCGTGTTTGGAGGACAAAGAATGCTGAGTTGCATCCAAAGAACACCATACCTACTGTGAAGCATGGGGGTGGAAACATCATGCTTTGGGGCTGTTTTTCTGCAAAGGGACCAGGACGACTGATCCGTGTAAAGGAAAGAATGAATGGGGCCATGTATCGTGAGATTTTGAGTGAAATCCTCCTTCCATCAGCAAGGGCATTGAAGATGAAACGTGGCTGGGTCTTTCAGCATGACAATGATCCCAAACACACCGCCCGGGCAACGAAGGAGTGGCTTCGTAAGAAGCATTTCAAGGTCCTGGAGTGGCCTAGCCAGTTTCCAGATCTCAACCCCATAGAAAATCTTTGGAGGGAGTTGAAAGTCCGTGTTGCCCAGCGACAGCCCCAAAACATCACTGCTCTAGAGGAGATCTGCATGGAGGAATGGGCCAAAATACCAGCAACAGTGTGTGAAAACCTTGTGAAGACTTACAGAAAACGTTTGACCTGTGTCATTGCCAACAAAGGGTATATAACAAAGTATTGAGAAACTTTTGTTATTGACCAAATACTTATTTTCCACCATAATTTGCAAATAAATTCATAAAAAATCCTACAATGTGATTTTCTGGATTTTTTTTCCTCATTTTGTCTGTCATAGTTGACGTGTACCTATGATGAAAATTACAGGCCTCTCTCATCTTTTTAAGTGGGAGAACTTGCACAATTGGTGGCTGACTAAATACTTTTTTCCCCCACTGTATGTGTGTGTGGCTGTGTTTGTATAGGTATGTGTGTGTGTTACTGTACACACAGGGTAATCTGCAGTAATCTGGTTTATGGGCTAGTCGACAGTGACGCAGATATGCCAGTGAAGCTCTATCTGATGGATTCTGAGAGACAAGGAGCCCAAGCTGACACTATAGCCTACATACTGTACCTTTACTCAGAGTCCTGTTACTATACACACACAAATACACTTTGAATTGTCTTTAGCACTGTGATTCCAACACTTACTTTTTGAAGAAGGTTGTACATGCAATGAATGCACTTCTTATAAGTTGCTCTGGATACAAGTGTCTGCAAAATGACTATAATATAAACATGTTAAATGTAAATGAGGAAGAGAGAGAGAGAGGTTGTGCTCTTGCCACCCTTAGATAGCGATATATGCAAGGATCTAGCTTAGTTTAGATTTTATAAAATATGAATATGAGTGACTGATAGTTAACATGAATATTTGTATAAATAACATGTATCTACATATCTGATACAATATCTACACATCATTAACGGTACTCTCAATGACACATGTGAAGTATATGATGTGCACATTTTAGTTGTCCAACAACACATGCATGTGGCTGTAGTAGTGAATCATCGGGGTGTAAAATGACTGTGAAAAGCATATTTTAACAAACTATGCAAAAGGTGTTGCATTTATAAAAACTCTGCAAGTGTCGCTGTAGATCTTGCCTATAGAGACAGATTTATAATCAGGGTTCCTTCTGCCAATATAACATGCGGGGTGAAATGCAAAACTGACCTCAAATCAGCATATGGGACAACTTAATTCGCTTTGCACGTTGCTAGGGATGTACCGATTACAGCGATTGGTGGAACGAGCTTTCACTCAAATTAACCCGCCCCGCCATTCCTTTGCTGGGGAAAGCATATTCGTCAGAACCTCTCATCTGTGGCGCAGGTCCTCTGTGGCATGACGCACTGCCGTCAAGCGAAAAACTGGCAAAATGTAACGGGCAAATAGAAGCCATACACCATTTTCTGTGAATGGTAGGTGAAGAGGATAGGAATACGTATTTCGTGGGTTAAATCTGATGCGTAAAAGAGCAGCAGAGGAGACATTCCAAGATACGTGAAACCTTCTGCGCGTAAAAGTGGGAGGAAAATCAACTCTGGGAGGTGCTAAAATGTTTTTGGGTCTAGCCGAAAAGGCGCATTGAGAAAGTGCAAGACGCTATTCTGTATTGATGATAATCGACAGGCGCGCATTTAGGCGATGGCGACCCAGACGGAAGAGAAAGCGCACAGTGAGGTGTCGAATACGGGATAGTGTGTGAACCCCACGGCTGGACAAGCCATTGAGACCCGCTCAGCAATCGAATAATATCCCCAGTGAACTTGGGGAAAGGGAAGACAATAGACAGCTAGCTTTACGCAGGACAACGAGCTGACCATATACCCCGTCTCTGCTACAAGCAACGGAGAAGTGAAACCACACGTATGCTGTGCTTAAAGGAGCGATGGTTCGTCTTGTTATGGTAAACAACGTTATCTAAAGGTCGGTGATAAAGATAACAGCCAGCTAATGTGGCCAAAGCACTCTGTCAATCTACTCCAGCGGCAACACGGCCGCCTTATCTCACAGCGAAGCAGGAGACGAAAGGGGGTGAACACTTTTAGCGTTTACATTTTCATATCTACCTCTTACCAATATGGGCGAGAAAGTCGACTCGAGTCGATCGAGTCCGGTGGAAGGCTGTCTGGTGGACGGGGAGAGCAAAAACCTCAGCGTGCTCAACTGGGAACAAGTGCAGCGCCTGGATGTCATCCTGGCTGGGTCCATCCCCATCCACGGCCGCTGGAACTTCCCCACCCTGGAGATAAAACCGCGGGACATCGTCAAAGTGGTCCGGTGTCGCATGGAGGAGAAACGGATACATGTCCGGGAGGTCCGCCTGAACGGTTCCGCGGCCAGCCATGTTCTCCATGAGGACAGCGGGTTGGGATGGAAGGATCTGGACTTGATATTCTGTGCTGACCTGAAAGGCGAGATGGAGTTCCAGACGGTGAAGGATATAGTTCTGGACGCTCTGCTAGACTTCTTACCCGAGGGAGTGAACAAGGAGAAGATAACGCCAGTGACCTTAAAGGTAATATAACTTTTATTTTCACTTGACATGATCATTTGACATTCATAATGCAGGTTTATGTAGTTTATTACGCACCAATTTAGGTGCGCAAATGTTTCTATATTCATTGCAAGCGTCGTATCAAGACTTGGATTCTAATGCAACCAGTGAAAGTTATGCTCAAGTATGAGAATGCATTACGATTACACATTACTTTCATATCTTCATTCCCTCTCAATGTGCTTACTGCAACACATTATGCACCCTACAACAGCCTATAAATTACAGTTATGCAAATCCACACAGTATCAACATGACTTATTTGCAGTATGGTGCATTCTGCCCTGCATTCTAAGCTGCATGGTGATAGAGCTGCAGATAGTACAAACGGTGGTTTCCACTACAAAGAGGATTCACACTAATCCAATCGGAAGGGGATCCGCATTAATGGTCGCTTCTCAGTTACCTAGATACGTATTTACCCATTACCCAGCGCTGTGAGGATTACCCTCCCTTCAATGCAAAACATATAGATTAATTGAATATTGAACAGAAAGTGAAAATGACACCAATAAATCATCTATCACGTTCAAATGAACCCCTGACTTACGTTATTTCTTAATATACTCCCCCTGTTATTTTATTTATTTAACTTGGCAAGTCAGTTAAGAGCAAATTCTTATTTACAATGGCCTACCCCGGCCAAACGTGTGCCGTCCTACGGAACTCCCAATCACTACCGGATTGTGATACAGCCTGGAATCTAACCAGGGTCTGAAGTGTCGCCTTTAGCACTGAGATGCAGTGCCTTAGACCGCTGAGCCACTCGGAAGCCCATTGCCAAACTTAGATACAGAGGATAATACATGTATTGAGAATAAATGCAGAAATGGACCACAATACATAATAAACACTTTAATCTATTAACATGTTTGGTTAAATTATGATATATATGCTGATAATGCTATACAATTAAACATTTAATTTATGTATTTAATGTACAGGTGTAGGATCTTAATTTGATCACCCTGTTGCAGGAGAACTTTCCTGCAATGTGGGACATTTTAAATGTGTAGTGGAATTGAGGTTTAAAAAGGCTTCTGAAGTTTGAAATTTCCACTTTGAAATGACTTGGTTTTCCCTTACAAAAAATGTATCAACCCCTACAATAATGTCCATTAATTATAATCCACATAATAATTCAAATGTCCTGTTGCTGCAGGATTATTTTCCTTCTGTAGCAAACTGGCTCAAATTAAAATCCTACATCTGTATCTAATCATTCATTTATTAATGACCTATTACCATAGACAAAAACATGTAGATAAGACATGTTTTCTTATGTCTGTGTTGTGTTTTCAGGAGGCCTATGTGCAGAAGATGGTGAAAGTATGTAATGACTCAGACCGCTGGAGCCTCATCTCCCTCTCCAACAACAAAGGCAAGAATGTGGAGCTCAAGTTTGTGGACTCTCTGCGTCGCCAGTTTGAGTTCAGTGTAGACTCCTTCCAGATTCGCCTGGACTCCCTCCTCCTCTTCTACGAGTGCTCCGAGCACCCCATGGCTGACACCTTCCACCCCACCATCCTGGGAGAAAGCGTCTACGGCGATTTCCCCGCCGCCCTCGACCATCTACGCAAACGCCTCATCTGCACGAGGAACCCTGAGGAGATTCGTGGTGGTGGTCTTCTGAAATACTGCCATCTGCTGGTTCGGGGTTTCTGCGCCGCTTCTGGAACCGAAATGAAACATCTGCAACGCTACATGTGCTCCAGGTTCTTCATAGACTTCCCAGAGGTGGGTGAGCAGAGGAGGAAGCTGGAATCCTACCTCCAGAACCACTTTGTGGGTCTCGAAGATAGGAAATACGACTATCTAGCCACTCTGCATGGGGTAGTGCAGGAGAGCACGGTGTGCCTGATGGGCCACGAGAGGAGACAGACACTGGGCCTCATCTCCTCCCTGGCCCTTCGGGTTCTTGCCGAGCAGAACGTCATCCCCAACACGGCCAACGTCACCTGCTACTACCAGCCTGCCCCTTATGTGGCCGACAGCAACTTCAGCAACTACTATGTGGCCCAGGTGCAGACTGTTTACCCTCACTACCCCCCTCCGCAGTACCCCCCTCAACAGTACCACCATCAACAGTACCCCCCTCAGCAATACCCCCCTCAGCAATACCCCCCTCCACACCAACCGCCTCCCAACCACCCCATGTACACTGCATGGATGCCCTGCAACTGATTGTGAGATAGTGGACACACAGTCGCTCATGGAACAACAGGATTCTCATCCTAACTAATGGATGGATCACAGGATGATGGTGGTTCCTCTCTTTATTCAAACAGAGACACAAAGAGAGGCATATTTTTGCTTTGGTTGTGAGCAGGATGGAGAGGAGAAGAAGAAGAGAGGCCACTTGGATATGGTCTGACCCTGGAGAGAAGGCTTTCCTCCTGGGCAGAAAGCCAGTGGTGGAGGAGAGGAGGGCAAAAGGAGGGGAGCCAGGAGAAGGCTGAGCTAAGATGAGGCTGAGGTTGAACCCAGGAGGCCAGTTTTTCAATGGCGACTAGCCAGTCCTAGGAGACCAGGCTAAACACCTTGCTGGACAACCAAGCACCACCACAGAGTGACAGAGATAGGAACATTCGGCTTAGGGCTGAATACTACTAGTGTTGATGATGCAGTGAAATTATGTACATAACCACCGTGTTAGTGGTTATGTTTTTGCAAGCAATGGCTTGAATTTGAGACTCACTCTTAAATATACACTCACCTACAGTATACTCCCTAACACTCATACATAAAAACACAGACACACGCTCACACACCATACAGTGCATACATAAGACATTTACAGTACATAGGCAAACACTGAGTGTATTGTGTAGGAAAGTGAGAGAAATCAGGAAGTTGTGGACACGTCCTGATTGGCTACGAAGACCATGCGTTTACCTTTTTCTGACCAGTGAAAATAAGAAGTAATGCTTACCCCAGACAATGCAAAAGAAGAACTGGACATTGTTTACAAACCAAAGAGCTATCTTTTAGATACCCACGTTTTGGCTGATCAAGGAGAAGAAGAAAAAATGCAATATGTGTATGTGAATATTTTTGCTTTAAGTGCCTACATGTCTAAAAGGAAGAAACAGGTTTTTTTTGAATATTTTGTGAATAAACCCAAACTTGTTCATTTTAGACAAAGGACAATGGGCCTTTTTAAGGATGATGATGGTGTGTTACTTGTGTAAATGAATGTATTTTGGACCAGAGAGGGACACAACGTGAACTGTTATTGAAGTAGAGGGACAAGGTTTGGACTTAGTGTGTCTCATATCTCCCGAAACTATAATAGGATGACGAGAGAGGGAGATGAGTTATAGTGTGACAGAGAAAGGAGGGAGAAAGTGAGAGAGGGAAAGGGGTCCGAGTGAGTGAGAGGGAGGAGGTTACGAGGAGAGAGGATTAGAGTATGAGTCAGGCCTGTAAACTCCTGCAAACGTGTAGTGTCTGGTGACAGGCCTGTAAACTCTTGCACACTACAAGTGTGCAGTAGTTTCAGGCCTGACTCATACTGTTAGAGAGTGTTTTTACCAGTAGATAGAGGGGGCTGAAATTGATGCTTGAGATATATATTTGTGATATTTTAGAGAGTGTGTGTGTGTATGGGCAATATATGTTTGGGTTCACAAGCTGGAAATTGTCCTTCTTTGCTGTATTCTTCTTTGTGACATTTCTGATCTTTTTTTGTAAGGCATTTCCATGTGGGATGTGAGAAAGGGGGATGGTTCAAGCATTTGCACCTTTGCAAAGCGTGTGCCTGTTATTTTTAAGTAATAAAACCTAAAAGAATGAACAAAAGGTAAAGGTTAAGAGAAGAATAATAATTAAGTTAAAGTATCAATAAAGGTAGTTTTTTGATCCCTTTTAAAGATACCAGGTGCAAACTTTGAGTAAATCTAACCCTATCAATGCAGATGCCTCACATCCTACTATTAAACCTGTTCTCAGATCTCTTATTTTTCTATCAATCTCTCTATTTTTGTACATGTTGTTCGGCTCATGCCATAGTCTTGTTGATTGCCACGTTCCAAGAGGTTGTAAAGAGTATTAATGCAAGTGTGTGTGTATGTGTGTGTGTGTGTTTGCACATGTGGGAGAGAGAATGTTATTTCAGTGGTGACTCATACACACAACCCACTGAGCACAGACGTCAGTTCAACATCTAGTTTTGATTTACATTTGGTTGAGTTGTCAACTAACGTGAATTCAGCGTGAAATCAACAAAAAATGTCACCATGTCATTGGATTTAGGTTAAAAGTTGGGTGAAAAGAAATGAGATGCCCTTATGTTGATGACCTTTTGCAAATCCAATCAGTTCTCCACGTTGATTCAACATCATCACATAGATTTTTGGGGTTGAAATTACATAGAAACAACGTTGATTCAACAAGTTTTTGCACAGTGGGAAACTTTCAAATGCAGACTAACTTGTGTCCATGGCATTGCTCATGCAACCTCTTTTGTTTTCGTTCTTTTGTGTTTCAAAACTTTATTCTCTAACTAAGAAAGAGAATGTCTTTGTTGAGTTTCTCTCAATGTCTTATTGTTGTGTAAATGTCTATTTTGAAAATAATGTGTCAACACAAATGTCTAAGATGAATGACTTTGTCATTAAAAAGGAAGAAAAATCAGTTATGCACTCCTGCAGTCATGTATGAATTCATTACCTTTTCAGTTTTTTCAAAAGTATAAAGTACAGTATTTATACAGTATTTAAATACTAATAAATAACTGTACTTTCTCATGACTCATGCTCTTAAAGGAAAATCCACTCAAAACTATATTTTTGGTATTTCTTTCATTAGTCCACTGTTGATACAGTCCCAAAATGTTTTCCATGTCAGCAGTCAAGTTTTCAAGATATTTGATTTTCAAGAAGCAAAGTGTCACTTGCCACATCATCAGGATGATGCGTTTTGCATCATATGATGCATTTTACATCATCATGATGATGTGGCAAGTGACACTTTGCTTAATATCTTGAAAACTTGACTGCTGACATCCAAAACATTTTGGGTCTGTATTAACAGTGGACTGATGAAAGAAATACGTAAATATCGTTTTTTTTATTTGTACGTTTTCAAATTTGAGAACATAGAGACATTGACATCAATCAATACAACATCCCCAGTCCTTTATAAAAGTTTGGTAATGAGTTGGTAAATTGAATCAGGTGTGCTGGCGCTAGGGCAAGTACAAAACTTGCACCCCTGGGCCCCCAGGACCAGGATAATCCAGTCCATACAGTGGCTGGAGAAAACAACAAGGCAACAGTGCTTGTATGACAGAATATGAAAAATAACAAAGATAATAAAACGGGTATGACAATAACAGTGGATTCCTATTAACACATCGCAGCCACTTACACAGGACATGACTGCCTATATTGAAATGTGAGAGCTAAACTATGTGAAAAATAGGCTTTCTACATGTTTAATGAAAGGGGACCATGTCAGGCCAAACTTCTCTTGGGACCACCCCCGCACAGTGTATCTAACCATTTCAAGTGGCAGAGATGACATCACCTCCTTAACCTACTGTGTAAGAGAAGGAGGTCTTGCCGAGGTCTTCCAATTAAAGAGGATAAGACGGCGAGCTAGAAGTGATGCAAATGCTACTGCATTCGCCTGGTGGGTGGTAGCAGTACAATCCAAAGGTGGTATGCCAAAAATAGCAGTGAACGGATCGGGGTCAACAGTTTTGTTACATACATATGAAAATGCCTCAAATATCGGATCTCAGAAACCCCCAGAGAATGGCATGACCAAAACAAATGCCCCACAGTTGCTGGACTCTGATGGCATCTCAAACACTTTGGGTCGACATTTGGATATATTTTTGCCAGTCAGTCATTCGAGTAATGGAGACGGTGTAAGACTTTGAACTGAATGAGCCTGTGCCTTATGCAAAATGATGAGGTGTGGAATCGTTCTATACTACATTGCCATATGTCATCGGGTAGCTGGCCACCCATGTCTTGTTCCCATGCAGACTTGGTATTTGCCCAGGAAGGCAGGTTAATGTTCTGTATCATGTCATACAACCTGGAGATTGTGCCCTTCAGATAGGGGTTAAGGTTTAAGCACCTCTCAACTGGACAATTTGCAGGCAGGAGCGGAAATGAAGGGAAATGTTTTTTAGCAAAGCTGAGAGTTTGGAAATACCTAAACAAAGTGGGTATTGGGAATATTATGGTCAACCCTCAGAGTTTCAAATGAGACAAATGTGTTATCAACAAAGAGGTCACTAAAAAACACCAGGCCCCAAATATAGTTTTTGAGTGGATTTTTCCTTTAAGAGCATGAGTCACGAGAAACGTGACTCATGTTCAACAGTACCCCCATCAACAGTACCGTCCTCAGTAATACCCCCCTCCACACCATCCACCTCCCAACCACCCCATGTACACTGCATGGATGCCTTCAACTGAGTGTGTGATAGGGGACACACACATACACACAGTCGCTCATGGAACGACGGGATTCTCATCCTAACTAATGGATGGATCACAGGATGATGGTGGTTCCTCTCTTTATTCGAACAGAGACACAAAGAGAGGCATATTTTTGCTTTGGTTGTGAGCAGGATGGAGAGGAGAGAAGAAGAGAGGCCACATGGATGTGGTCTGACCCTGGAGAGAAGGCTTTCCTCCTGGGCAGAAAGCCAGCAGTGGAGGAGAGGAGGGCAAAAGGAGGGGAGCCAGGAGAAGGCTGAGCTAAGATGAGGCTGAGGTTCCTTTAAGATATTAGTGCAGTGTAGCCTAGACCCAACAGTATACTATACAGTCTATCTGTAGTGACATTGTTCCATGTGCTTTGGGCACAGTTCCAACGAGGAAACTGCTGATGCCAAGCCCAAGATGCTCGTATCACACCAAGCTGATCCTGTTGGATTTCCCCTTTACAGACGTCACAGTCAGACGTCACCAAGCGTCACCAAGCGTTACTGTGTGTGTTTGCCAGACATGGGCCAGGTGTGTGTCTACCCGCCAGGTGCAGGTGATATGTACTTTAGATTGTGGCACTCCCGGCATAGCCCTGTCCTCCCAGTGAGCTGAGCTAGGAGCTGAGGAGCAGAGTAAAGGAGAGGAATGAGTGGATTTGCTCCAGGCCTGCGTCATACTAATGTAACCAGGACGCCAGATGTCACTCTCCCTGGTGACCAACTGCCCCTCTCCCTCCCCCTCTCTCTCCACTCTTGTTCTGTGTCCTTCTCTTTCCTTTCTGCTATATGTCTCAGTGTCCCCTTTTCTTTCTGTCTTTCTGTAAATTCTCAGAGGAGAGGACAAATTACATTTCTCACACCTGTTGCTTGAGATCTCTCTCTCTCTCTCTCTCTCTCTCTCTCTCTCTCTCTCTCTCTCTCTCTCTCTCTCTCTCTCTCTCTCTCTCTCTCTCTCTCTCTCTCTCTCTCTCTCTCTCTCTCTCTCTCTCTCTGGTCCCGTTGGGGGCATTAGTGTGGATGATAACCAGTGGGGGTGGAAGGGAACCAGGGCCATGTTATCCCTTGCTAAGAGGGAGAAAGTGGTAGCTAAATATAGTTCTGGCCATGATAAGGACATTACCCTGTCGTCTGGGGAAAGCTGCTTTATAAGCATGTGCTCAGCGGTCTACTGTGGTTACTGCAGGGGGATTTACTGCCATTGTACTGTAACACACACCCCAATGAGGATGATCATCACTCTGTTAGGTCACCCAGTTCTCCCTGCTGACTGAACCAGTTAAATTCCTTCTCTGGGTCCTTGTGAACACTATTAGAAAAATAGCCAGATGTGTTTCTAATGTTGCCCAACACAGGACTGATCTAGCTAGATTAATACTGTAGGTGGCTTACATAGTACTGTGATAATGTTACTAATCAAGGTAGCCATCCATTTTGTGATGTCGCAATAATGAGGTGATGAATTTTCCCTATTGTGATGTCACAGTGAAGATGATGTGAATATTCTACTGTGATCTTACAAAGACACCAATCCAAGTAACCTGTTGTGATGTCATAGTGAAGACGATGACAGTATTCTAAGTGGATTATGATTTTACAGAGAGATATGTGTAACCTATTTTGATGTCACAAATAGTAAGAGGGCATACCTTATTGTGATGTCACAAAGACAGTAACGATAATACCTCATTGTGATGTCACAAATACAGTAAAGAGAATGCCTATTTGTGATGTCACAAAGACAATAATGAGAATGCCTCATTGTGAGGTCACAAAGACAGTAATGAGAATACCTCATTGTGAGGTCATAAAGACAGTGATTAGATTGCCTCATTTGATGTCACATGGACAGTGAGGACAGTTTATTGTGCTGACACAAAGACAATAATGAGGGTACTTTATTGTGATGTTAGTAATGGGGTCACCTATTGTGAATCTATTGTGAGGTTCCCTATTCAGAACTGACCATATGTGATGATTATTAGAGGCTGCTACTTAAATGCTTCTAAGCAGTTCATCCTTCATATTTCCGGGGGCATGTTTACTCCTCAGGAACACTGGGAGAAATAGGCTTTTGCCTGCCAGTTTCATCGTCACTCGCTAGGAGGAACTCTTACCAGATGCTCGGCAGTAGAACTGGGCCTCCCTATTGGCTGCTGGGACTTTCAGTTCCTGTATCGGGATGCAGGATAGACCGATGCAGAGATACTTTGATTTACGTGTCTGAGGAAAATAAAACAGAGACAAGAAGATTCCATTGCACTGGAAACCCTCACTTCTGTGGACAGACTTCAAAGGAGAAATTCAGAGAATAAGTAAAAATAACACTCAAACAACAGTGGAGGAAAATCTGTCCATCAGCAATGAAATCAGTCATATTATGCAAAAGTATCTTAATGCACTGATAGATTTATAGATATCAGGAAATATGAAGAATCATCAAAACATTAGTGAAGGGTAGTAAGTGTTTCTTCAGACATAGCCTACAGCAGTGGTTCCCAACGGATACTATAACCCATGGGGGTACTTGAGAAGACTCATGAGACCATAGGGCTACTGGTAAAATCCATATGAGGGGGTACTTTAGGGGTACTCTGGGCAGAGCAAAATTCAGTTGGTGGTTCAGTAACCGAAAAAGATTGAGAACCACTGGCCTGCAGCATGTTGCAATGTACATATCCCATATATCACAGAAAGACTACATGCACCAGCATACCCCAGTGTTTTTCTGTATTCAAGCTCTCTCCTTTAAAGAGGAAAAAAAAACGACTTCTCTGGTTGAAAAAGGCCTATGTGGCATCGATAGTAGTCATAAAAATCGATTCTATTCTGAAAATTGACTAAAAAGTGGAAGTAGGATAACTTTGGTCAGTATCTTCCAAAACTGAGATTTGCCAGATGTATGGTTAGTAATGATGTTGCCAAATCCTTGGATATTTGAGGGCTGGGTTTGGACTTCAATCATGCCCACATGTCCACTTACACGGGACAGCTGCCTGGCAGCACCCAAATGATCAGAGCACACTATGCAATTGTAGCAGCAGAATCAACCTACAGCCTACCCATTTCTTTACAGACAATAGGCATTAGCATGCAGCGCCTCAGGACTTGTTTGATTGACATGAGACAACGAACGAGACATTGCTACAATACATCGCCACCAATGTTATGTTGAAAGAACAAAACTTATTCTTTATAAACTGCTTGTTTTTTCCCCCAACTCAAACATCCTCACATTCTTGAAAAAGTTAGAGCGCTGAGAAAACTGAGGATGGATCAACAACATTTTAGTTACTCCACAATACTAACCTAAATGACAGAGTGAACAGAATAAAGCACTAAAGTTAAAGTGCAACAAATGTGGCAAAGAAATAAACTTTATGTCCTGAATACAAAGCGTTATGTTTGGGGCAAATCCAACACAACACATCACTGAATACAACTCATCATGTTTTCAAGCATGGTGGTGGCTGCATCATGTTATGGGTATGCTTGTCATCGGCAAGGACTAGGGAGTTTTTTTTTAGGATAAAAATAAACGGAATAGAGCTAAGCACAGGCAAAATCCTAGAGGAAAACCTGGTTCAGTCTGCTTTCCAACAGACACTGGGAGACAAATCCACCTTTCAGCAGGACAACAACCTAAAACACAAGGCCAAATATACACTGGAGTTGCTTACCAAGACGACATTGAATGTTCCTGAGTGGCCTAGTTTTATTTTATATTTTTTTACAGTTTTGACTTAAATCGTCTTGAAAATTGCTGCTAGTAATGATCAACAACCAACTTGACAGAGCTTGAAGAATTTTAAAAATAATAATGTGCAAATATTGTACAGTCCAGGTGTGCAACGTTCTTAGAGACTTGCCCAGAAAGACTCACAGCTGTAAGTGCTGCCAAAGGTGCTTCTACACAGTATTATTGTGAATAATTACGTAAATGAGATATTTATGTATTTCATTTTCAATAGATTTGCAAAAATGTCTACAAACATGTTTTCATTTTATCATAATGGGGTATTGTGTGTAGATGGGGTATATTAATTTTTATTTAATCATTTTTTAATTCAGGCTGTAACACAACAAAATGTGGAATAAGTCAATGGGTATGAATACTTTCTGAAGGCACTATAACACATCCACATCAAACCACACCCCCAAGATACAAATCACGTTTTTCATAATGAGATGGAAAACCGAGGCGAGAAAAACTGTGTTCAGCCACCCTTTAACATACAGAGTTCATGACTGTGCTCTCATGGGAGTTTGAGTCACACAGGACTTAGTCACTACACTGATGACAGCTTCGTCTTTATGGCCCACTGGTAATGATGATGAATGATGTTATTAGGGTTGTTGACCTTTGGTTATCAAGGGTGGGTTTGTATAATCTTCGTTGTTATGTCTCAACAGTCCACGTCATCACACACACACACACACACACACACACACACACACACACACACACACACACACACACACACACACACACACACACACACACACACACACACACACACACACACACACACACACACACACACACACACACACACACACACACACACACACAGAGATGGCTTATAGGAGTGTGTTATCTGGTCCAATGATGTGCTGTTACACTCTATGAGGTTGATCTATCACCTATGATGCAGGTTTTGACCCAAGGGGTCAATTTATGAATGACTCACTACTTCCCCTTCCTCTTTCTATTACTTGGGTTGACACGATTCACCTCAGCGCTGCATTCGGATTGGCTAACGGAGTTGTGGCTGTCGTCATTGGTAACAATGATGTATGTGGAGGGAACCCTAATTCTCTAACTTACTCCTGCATATCCTCTTATGCTCCAATCAATCTATGGCATTGCACCCAGAAGTCAAATGCTGTGTCCCATTGCATTGAGAAGGACATTTAGCTGGATGACTAATACTGCACTCCACTTACTCAGGTCTATTTCTCTGAAAGTCGAAGACTGAGGGAAAAATAAGTGAATAAGAACGAGTTGGATAAAAGATACCGGTAATACAAATCAAAAACATGATGTCTCCTTGTTTATCCAAACACAGCAAATCAGAGAGACTAAGGGATCCTGATGTAGAGCCAGTCTCTTGTCTCTTAATAATCAATGTGTATAAGAAGCGACTCAGCTGGCCTACACACACACATAAGTGCATGCACGCCTCCCAGTTGGACCAGCAGGGCCAGGAGTCCATGCAACAAGACCCAGCCGAGGTCAGAGACTAAATCAAACAACGGCAGGGTGAGACTGAGAAACAGCTCTTCTTGTGTGTGTGTGTGTGTGTGTGTGTGTGTGTGTGTACTGTACATGTTACATTGGTAAGGAAAAACTGAGGGAGAGCGTCTCATTTTTAGTTGAAACCATCTGTGGATATTGTTGCTTTTGCAGATTATTTTGTTCCAGTCATTGGCAAAATGTAATCTGGTTGATTATTAGGCCATTTAAAAAACATTGCATGATGACTTGTTTTTCTCTTCTCTATACCATTAAGATAGAGAACTTTCCTCGGCATCAAACCCAAATAATTGCCTTTGGTTTTAGTCATAAATCATTCATTATCTGGAGTGTTTGTTCCAAATCAGAAACTTTTCAGGAAATTGAAAAACTGCCATATTCTATCATTAACAAAAATACAACCCCCCACCGGCAATCTGATAACATGTAAAATAAATCATGAGATAAAAACAAATACATTTATATTACATAGTAAATCTACTGAACAATAGATCATATAGCCTCAGAAATGGTGACAAATTATTGATACACATTCATGGATATAAAGGCCCGTTGGTTAAGAGTTTAGAAATGTCCGCTGCTGCTTTTTTCCATGTGTCCAGAGTGGACACCTTGGTCCTGTGGATCCTGGCCGTGGAGAGCTCCATAAGTACAATTTCCTTAAATGTGAGCAGACATTGTTGCAATGGTAACTGATGAGGTGGAATCCACCTTTGTACAATCATTTTCTTAGCAGCTGTGGTTCCTGCCAACCACACTCTCCATTGACGCTCTGACAAGTACAAATCAGAGTCATCACTATTGGATCTAATGGCATTATTTTATCTATAAGTACAGAGATTACATCCTGGACATTCCGCCAGAATTCAACCACCACCCGGGGATTTCCACAGCACATGCTGAAAAGTACTAAGGTTCCCTGTGGTGCAGAACTCACATAATGGCGATGGACTAATACCCATGTGATGTCTTTATACTGTAGATGTCAGAAACTACTCATTTTTTAAATTTGTGTACTTTTACCCCTTTTTCTACCCAATTTTGTGATATCCAATTGGTAGTTACAGTCTTGTCCCATTGCTGCAACTCCCGCACGGACTCGGGAGAGGCGAAGGTCGAGAGCCATGCGTCCTCTGAAACACGACCTTGCCAAGCCGCACTGCTTCTTGACACACTGCTCGCTTAACCCGGAAGCCAGCCGCACCAATGTGTCGGAGGAAACACTGTACAATTGGCGACCGAAGTCAGCTTGCAGGCGCCCGGCCCGCCACAAGGAGTCGCTAGAGCGTGATGGGACAAGGACATCCCGGTCGGCCAAACCCTCCCCTAACCCGGACGATGCTGGGCCAATTGTGCGCCGCCTCATGGGTCTTCCGGTCACGGCCGGCTGTGACGCCGCCTGGGATCGAACCCGGGTCTGTAGCGCCTTAGACTGCTGCGCCACTTGGGAGGCCAGAAAGACCTCCTTTTGAGAAAGACCTCCTTTGACCAATGGGTGTACTGGTAATTCTGGTAATTCTGGTAATTCTGGTAATTCTGGTAACACATTGGTAATTCTGCTCCCCAGGGGACTCCATAGGCTCGCATGGATAGGTGGATTTGAAGGTAAAGACAAAACGATGAACCTGGGATTTCCTGGAAACTGAGGAGTCCATTCACATTGAATATGTCTTTGAAAATATAAATACCCTTCTTAGACCAAGAATCTGATATAAATGGTTTATTACATGCCTAGAATTCATTATTACGCCATATTGGAGAGTATGAATGCCATTTCAGATTGGATCTCATATGCTTCTCTGTAGCTTTCCACACATTTACTGAGTATGCTATAATGGGTCCAAACAATAATGCACATTTTTTAGGAGTCAATCCAGAAAATAATGAATATTGTAATCTAACTGGAGAAACTATTGACTCTTCTACAGCACACCAAGGAACAAAAGCCTCTGGGTTTAACCAGGTC